ATCAGAGTAGCGGGTGTGGGGTCCTTGAATTTTGACTCACATTTTCTTTGTGACTTACTCTCGTTTTGCCTTATAGTTTCTCCCCTCCCAGCTCTCAGCATGCCAACAGCAGCTGCACCATGGCCCTCACACTGCTGCCAAAGGGCAGGCAGCCTCCTTGGAGACTGTAATGTTGCACTCTAGCCAACTGTTAAGAGATAGATGTTGGAGTCATACATACAGCACAGCTGAAATTCAGATCTTTCTAGGAGGCATTTGGTGGAACACTTTTTCCATGGTAATTTTTAATTAATTTTTAAGTTTTGGAGACTTTTCTATTTTGGACAGTTTTCAAACATGTGCAAAGGTAGGAACACTACCAAAGCACATTCTCACGTAGCTTCTAGCTCTCCATTTTGACAGTAATCAACTTATTGACAATCTTGTTTCACTGTCCCTGTTTCCCTGTGGTTCATCCAGACGACTGGTAGACTTATTTCCAGGGATAAATACCTCCTAAATTACAGTTGCTTTTCTGTCCTCTTTCAGTCTAAGATCTGTCACCTTGATGATTTTTTCAGTCCTTTCCAATGGTAAAAGATAGGAGAGTCTCCTTTCCTTCTAAATTAAGCTAAGATATGCTATGTTGGCACCTGTCATATTTTCTAATACCATCCTCGAAATTTTCAAGGCTTTGTGCATTCAGCTAGCCAGTCTATCCAGAGTACATCTGAGGTGTGCAGGGTCTTAGAATGTGGAGCATTAAAGGTCACTGAGTTGGATTCTCCATGTCACCACAGACTAGCTTTGCAACCTGGGACAACTTCCTTCACCTTTGTGTGCTTCTGTGTACTCTTATTTTTACTGTGGGGTCAACAGTAGTACACCACCCTCCCCCCCCCCACTACCCCCAGAGGTGTGGTAGGGCTTAAATGAGAGAGTACATTTAGACAGCTCAGATGGAGCTGGCTCAAAGGTTATGTCCAGTATATGCAGCTTGCTTCCATCTTTCTCCTCCTCATTTTTCATCCCTCACTGCTCATTTTACAGAAGAGAGAAGTGAGGTCCAGGTGGATGAAGCATATGCCAGTTTTATCAGGAGAACTTGAACAAGGAATCACATGTCTCAATTCCTTTATTATCCAAGATGCAGTTTGCCATAGTCTTGTCCTTAAGGAATTGTGCTCTGACACATAGGAATGATTTGTAAAGGAAAGGAAGGGGGATTAATCAAAGCCTGCACAAAGAAATAAATATTGCTGCCAGAGAGTTAAACCTGAGAAGGGATGTATTTAGAAAGCAAAGTAGTGGGGCACCTAGGTGGCTCAGTCAGTTAAGCGTCTGACTTCAGCTCGGGTCATGAGCTCAAGCCCTGCATGGGGCTCTGTGCTGACAGCTCGGAGCCTGGAGCCTGTTTCGGATTCTGTGTCTCCCTCTCTCTCTCTGCCCCTCCCCTGCTCACACTCTGTCTCTCTGTCTCTGAGAAATGAATAAACCTTTAAAAAAAAAAAAAAAGCAAGCAAAGTGGTACAAGTAATGTACCTTCTCATTGGAGAGAGTGAGATTTCAAAAATGTTTTTGTTTAAGAAAGGAGATGATTTGGCTAATGAAACTGGAGAACATTCTGTACACAAGGAAGAAAGAGAAGAAAGTTCAAGCATGGGATACTACTAATAGATCCAACAAACATTTGCATGTGAGATTAAGAGGGAAGGCAAGATATAAGAGTGGAGGGTAAGGTAAGATGATTTGAGCCACCAGTGGATGTCAGCAACAAAAGAGATGGATGGATCCCAGACCTTATCTAAAGCCAAGTGGCATCTGCCATTCCTAAAGTTTTTATTTATTTGCTTACTTTAACATGTGCTAAGCATTATTGTACTTACCTGGGAACATCATCACTTCATTAATCCTCACAGCAATCCTATGAAATAGGTACTATTACTGATCTTGAAATACAGCCAAGGAAACTGAGCACATGGAAGTTAAAGAACTTGCCCATGGCATAAGCAGGAGACCTTGGATTTGCACCCAGGCAGTGTCTCTCTACAATCTGTGCTCTCAACACTCTGCTGTGCTGCTCCAGGGTAAGCCCCTGTGCGTAGGTCATCTTGAAGAAACCAGTGATAGATAGGTGATACTTTCTAAAGAGGCTAGAATTGTGGCATCGTTACTCACTGACACCTGTGCTCTCATCTGACCCAGGGATCCTTCGTCTTTAAGCCTCGGTCAGGTTTCAGGAGGCAGGTTCTGGCCACCGCATACATGGACCTTTCTAATAAGCTTTGTCATAGCAGGGCACACTTGCCTTGTTCTAGCTGCAATCCTAAGAAAGTGCTCTGGTGTTTTATTTATGATGTCATAAGACAACTCTTGCTAGGGATGTGTTTGGTTAATTCAAAGTCATTTACTAACAGATTTCTTGAGGGTCTCTGTTCTGTGTTGGGCATGCCTTGTGAAGAGAGTAGTTCCTCTCTTACAGAATCTCCATGGAGTTTTCCTTTCTAGAGCTTCTCATTAGCATATCACTACCATCATTTCTCTCAATTCATAACGCAAAAGAAAAATTGGGAGAAGCCTCTCTTGACCCCACATCCCCTTCCAGCAACCGGCACATATCTCTTTTCCCATTTGCAGTATAATGTCTAGAAATGCTGTCTGTTCTATTTGTCCTCACTTGCCTTCCTCCTGTTGTCTTTTAAACACAACACCAAGCAGACTTTCTTCTCAAGATCTCCTCCAGCTCCAGACTCCTATGAGATCCCTGTACCTACTAACAGCTCCACCTGGATGTCTGTTAGGCACGTGGAACATCCAGAACAACTCCTGATCTTCCTGCCTTGCCTGCTCCCTCATGACACCCTTTCCCATCCCTGTAAATGGAGACTCCATCCTTATTGCTCAAGCCACGAACATTGGCTTCATCCTTGATCCTGCTCTTGCTCTCATACCCCACATCCATTCCATCAGCAAATCCTATTGGCTTTCTCCTTGGTCTATCCACATTCCAGCCATTCTGTCTCACCCTTAGTATCACCACCAGACCCACAAGCCCAGCTGGTCTTCCTGCTTCCTTCCCTGGCCACAGGACCCCCCACACCCACCATTAGCTATAGTCAACACAGCAACCAAAGCAGTTCTTTTGACATCAGTAAGAATACATCTCTTCTGCAACAATATGTTCTTCAAAATTTTTGTAACGTCTACATGCCACAATATGGATGGATTTCATACATAAAATATTAAGTGAAAGAAGCCAGAAACAAGAGTTCATACTGTATGGTGACTTCATGTAAAATACAGGTAATACCAACCTGTGCTATTAGAAATCAGGATGGTGACTGAGGGGCAGGGAGTTGGTTGTGACTGAAAGAGAGCACCTTGAGGGCCTCTGGAGAAGCTGGTCATTTCTGTTTATTGCTTTGGGTGCTGGTTGCTCACAGGTATTTGGTTGGTTAAAACTGAGCAAGCTCAATACTTATGATGCACCCTTTTCTGTAGGTCTTTTCCACTTCAATAACAAGTTTCACAAAACTGTTATTTCTTACACAGAAAACCATCCTCCTCTACTCAGAAGGAATTTATCAGCACTTGCAACTATTATGATATAAGCCTCACGCAGGCAAAAATCTTGTCTGCTTTCATCCACTCAACAAATACTGAGCACTGCGCACTGATCTGGGCACTGGGGATACAGCAGTGAACATGGGAAATAAAAACTCTCTAAGCTTCTAAGGGGTGATACTAGAATAAATTATACACCATGTAACAAGGTACTGAGGGCTAAGGAGAGGAAAAAGCAGGAGAGGGAGATGGAATGCTGGAGTGGGGGGAGTGAGGGCCAGGAGACAGTTAAAATAAGGTGGGCAGGAAAGGCCTCCCTGAGAAGGACATGGGAGAAGGAGCCCCGGTGGGTCTGGGAGAAGAATCTTTGGGGCAGAGGGATTGGAGAAGAGGGAGCCAGGACAGACTAGCTGGAGAAACTGTCAGAGAGGTACTGGGGCCAGATCAGGAAGGGCCTTGTAGGCCTTTGTAAAGACTCTGGAGTTTTATCCCCCAGGTAGGGACTGACTGGAGCAGGTGGTGAGTAAAGTTTTTCCTGACCTGGCTTAAGCTAGGTTTTAGCCACTTGGAGCAGCAGGCCATTCGTTCTCATTTTTGTAAACATACTTACAACTTTTTACTCAATCTCCTGTGGATAGATACTTAGGTAGTTTCCAGTACGGGGCTTGCGTAGAGTGCTATGAACACCCTAGTGCACATCTTTTGGTAACGTACTATATGCAAGGTCTACCAATCTTAAAGAAATTGAACAAGATACATCAGCTTGTGTAACATAACATGCTAGTTCCAGCGAAAGTCGGGCAATCAGTCAACACTTGGGGTACACAGGGGAGGTAAATGCTCAAGTTTATCTTAGGGAATAGAAGGTGGAGGATACATGCATCCATACAGAGTATGCAAGGTAATATATGCTAGGCGAAGAATACAAAGAAATGTCAAATGATAGCTTGCTCTCAAGTACCCTAGAGTCTAGTTGGAGATAAGACATATGCATAGGAAATAGCCACTAGCAAGAACACAAACATGAAATGCCAAATAATATCCTAGTCAGTTTGCCCCATAGTCTCTCTGAAGCAGGCAGGGCCACTTTGGACTATGTTCATCTACGATTTCACAGGGAACCTGGGAGTTCTGTAAAGCCTGGAAGCTTACATCAGATTTGTGAGCCAGACTTTGTAGACCTTATCTGGGCTAGGGAAATAGCAAGAATGCAGGCTTGTATTTAGGGGGCCCTGAGTGGTCAGCCTGAGTCAGAGAAGGGTTTAGGATTCATTTTAAAGCCTAGTAGAGATTTAGGTGGATGTATTTCTCAAGTAAGTAAATAGTAGCATTCCAACCTGGGAATATTTCTATATTCCACATTTCTCAATCATTTTGATATATTAATGCCACATTTACCATTTCTAAACCTCAAAGTCCACAAGGTCTAAATGACTTAAATATATATGTATTTTTAGACTGGCAAAGAAAACTCATCCAGTGTGACTGTAGCAGGCCCCGAGGTGGAAAATAAGGCAGGCCAGACTTTGGAAAACAACTCATTAATGGCTGAACTCCTCAACGACGTACCCTTCACCTTGGCCCCACACGTGCTGGCTGTGCAGGGCACCATCAGTGACCTTCCAGACCACTTACTCTCCTATGATGTCAGCGAAAATTTATCACGGTTTTGGTATGATTTCACTCTTGAAAATTCAGTGCTCTGTGATTTGTAATCTTTATGTCTATTTGCACCTTAACAGCTTTCAACAAAGCTTTGCCTATTTTATTTAACCCGTTTGATGTTCTTTGCCATTTCACTGCTTAACCGTCCCCAGAAACGCAAGGATCATAAAGCAAAGAAAATGTCATTGTGTTCATTACTCTTTTTTTTAGAATAAAGGATATTTGTATAAGAGTGGGACTAAAGTTCTACCTCCTTTCCCCCCAGATAATAAATTTAAAACTTAGGCTATCAAGGTTCTATGAAAGGATCAGACTTCAACCAGTCTCTCAAAATAGAACACCTCAGGTTTGTCTTAGAAGAGCTGGCACTTTTCTTAGTTACCACGACTCTGAAGTCTGTGCTTCGAATGGAGCGTGACTTGTCTGCTTTGGAGGAAGTTTGAGTTAATGGTACTCCCTTTATTCTTCCAGTGTTTATGAATGAATTCAGAAAAAAAAAAAAAAATGTTGCCAGTTAGCTTAATCTCTTCAGTCCGGATTTAGACACTGGGGTGGAAATGTAAAACTTTTCCTACAAAGCAGTGGTAGTTTGCTGACACACAGATGTGGTACCTGCTCTGGATGCTCTCTCTTTTGAGTGATACATATCAGTTTCCTCCAACCCACGGCACTCCTTACCACCTTGAATGGTTCCTGGGTTCCTGCCTTTGTTTTCTGCCTCGTTGCAGCTTCAGAGTGTGTGCTCTCACCAGCTTTCCAGAGAGCTTCCCCTGTTTCTGCTTCAGCTGGCATTTGCTCTCCTTACCACATATGTTCCCAGTTTATGAAGAGATCCACGTTTCCTTTCAACCTCTCTGCCTCCTAAAGAAAAACATCTCATGACGATGCATATTATTGCTGATAACACCCTTATTTAGAAATTTTTTGGCCACAATACAGATGGGAATGTTTTACTGCTAGAAAAACTAAAATCGATTCATTTCCAATTAGAGTGTAGGCAAAACACCTAACTAGGACTTTCAGTTCTTGGCTATCCCTTATTTATTCCAACTAAAACAGTACAGAACTGCCATTGGTCAATAAACTGTAAAGGGGAGAGGTAAACTGTGACAGAGTATTTTCCATGCCATGGAAAATTTAAATCACATTTGTTTTGATTAGAAGCAATACAATTTATTGATTCTGTGCCAAATTTTAAGTATATTTTTCACAAAGATAGAGTGCCATAGCAAAACTAAACACTGTGCAAAAAGGTACGTGAATCATTCAAATTTTAATGTGTTATGCATGTTTGTTTAATAAATGTAGCATGGTCTTGATAAAAATTGCGTATTATTTAAAAGTTAAAAGAACATTTCTATTGACAAAAATAGGCTTCATTTACAAAAAACATTACCCCATGAGAGGTGATTGATTACATTCAATCTTTACATAGTTTTCATAAAACATCAGTCTAGGAACTGTGACATGTTACTAACACAAATGTGAACATTTTATAGCAGTTTCTGTGAAAACAGCCTTTTCAATATCCATGTTAATGTACCTTGAGGCTAAATGTTAAGTATGTCATCAATTGGTCTAATATGTGTTAAATTTTATCTAAAATACTCATACATTTCATTTATATTTATGTCTACCATGTTATAAATATGCTTGTAAGTATTTTCATTTGTCTAAAATAATTGTTATATTTAAATAAATGTGAATTAAAATAAACTGATATTTTGATTATTCTCAGATCCAGAGAAAAATGGTTTTCTTTATATTATTCATAGCTGAATGCAAGTTATTAAATCTTTTGTGAGGCAAAGATTTAAGTTTATAGTTTGTGCAGTGCAGCCAAAGTATGAAATTTCCACTTACCTATAAATTTTAAGAAGTAACACTGAAAATGGTAAGATCGCTAGGACTAGAGAGATTTGGAAGAAATCACATGAATACCTTGCTTTAGACAGATCCTCATCATCCCAAAATTGAGTAAGGGCTAGTGTTCATGACCTCTTTTGTTTTTTAACAAAAACACTTTAGTTTTCTTAAGCCTGTCTATAAGTCAATGTTACTATTTTAAAGCTGGAAGAAACATTAGAGATCAGCCAGCTGACTTCATTTACCCAAGAGAAACTTGAAGCCTAGAGGGGTTAAATGACCTAACTCACCTGGTTAGTGATAGACATTTATTTTAATAGTGTTCGTAATTATCAATTATAACAAAGCCGTATGCTCTGGTGGAAAGAGTTCGGGCATATGAGGCAACCAGATGGAGTTTGTAATGGCTCCCTTACTTACAAGCTGTGGGACCTTGGTCACTTACCTAACTTCTGGTGCTCTTCGTTCTCTTGCTTGTTAAATAGTAATTGTATGCACCTTGCAGGATTGTGTAGTTTTAGACGGTGTTTGTCAGATACTTGGCAGCATAAAGCTTGAGACACCATAGGTGTTCTGAGAAAGAGTGCTGCTATAATTCTCATTACTAACCACACATGCACACTAGTCTAACAAAATGCAAAATACGAATGAACCGAACTGCTTAAAAAGTAATATAAAAAATAGCTACCTACATTTACTGTAGGTCCCTCTTGCCCTATTATTTTTTTCCATATTAAATACCTAACTATAAAACAATTCTAAAATATGTTGGTTGACTCACTGCAGTTCCTTAGTTAAGAATTCCTTAAGGAACATTTTTTCTTCCTCTTATTATTAAGCATCATGGTCATTGTCATTAATATAAGTCATCAGTGGAAAGTACAGTAGAGAATATACGAGTGATTTGACTGAATCTTATTTTTAGCCCTAAAATATATTCAGGAAGTTGCATGTATTTTTTCCCCAGCTTTCTTTAAAGTCGTTTGCATCTTTTTCTAAAAGCAAAATTAGATAATTCTGACCAACTTAATATGGTTAAATTTTTATCAACTGAACTTTAAAATTATTTTCTAATGTTTGTTTATTTTTGAGAGAGAGCGCGCACGTGTAAGCGGCGGAGGGGCAGAGAGAGAGGGAAACAGAATGGAAGTAGGCTCCAGGCTCCGAGCTGTCAGCACAGAATCCGATGTGGGGCTGGAACTCAAGAACCCTGAGATCATGATCTGAGCTGAAGATGGGCACTTAACTGACTGAGCCACCCAGGCGACCTTCACCTGAACTTTTAATATCATACCATTGGTGCACCTGGATGGCTCAGTTGGTTAAGCGTCTGACTTTGGCTTAGGTCAAGATCTTGCAGTTCGTGCGATCCCAGTTTGTGTGATCTCACAGTTTGTGAGTTTGAGCCCCATGTCGGGCTCTGTGCTGACAGCTTGGAGCCTGGATCCTTCCTCTGATTCTGGATTCTTTGTCTCCGTCTCTCTTTGCCCCTCCCCCACTCATGCTCTGACTCTCTCTCCCTCTCTCTCTCTCTCTCTCTCTCTCTCTCTCAAAAATAAATAAACCTTAAAAAAAATTTAAGTTGTACCATTAAGTGTTAACAAAGGCACATCTCTTGTTAACAGTTCTGGAAATCCGCAATAATTTTGTGGGTTTAAGTAAACATTCATTGACACCAACACCTTTTTTCCCTTTCTCAAAGTAAAGTGATAAATTAGAAATATTCCCATAGTCCTGAAATCTTATAATTCTAACGGACAAATATGGAATACCAAAGAAATAATCTCATCCATGTTCTAAAACAGTGATATATCACACCTTACTCCCTTACCTATCATGATAACAAACGATCAATAAATGAACATTGCCCTCAGTTACCTAGCAAAAAATGTTAATTTCAGAGACGATACATTGTCTTATTAATTATGTCCTTAATAACATTCACATGAAATGTAAGTATATTGGATAGGTGGCTGAAGGATGTTGCATCTTTTAAAGCCACTGAGAAATACAGATTTGTGGATATTATCTTTTGAGCATTTGTGTCCTACTACTAAGGGCATGACCTAAATATTATTGAAAAATCCGAAACTCTCAAAATAAGTCTTATTCCACTGATATTACATTGGCCCGAAAGATAAAGTATTATGTGCCAGGAAAATGACTATGCCATATGATTTGGTGGATAGGTGTGCGTGAAAAAGAGAGAGGTGCTGATTGATGTGTGGGAGCTCTGTCACAGTCAAAATAGCAGTATGTTAAACATCATTAAATAAAGTTTTTATTTTAGGGTACCCTTTAGATTTACAGAAAAGTTACAAAAATAGTGAAGTGTTCTTACGTGCCTTCCACTTAGTGTCTCCCAATGTTAACATCTTACATTACGACAGTGCATGTGCTACAACTAATGAACCAATTTGGTACCTACTTTTAACTCAAGTCCACACTCTATTCTGATTTCACAGTTTCCCCATCACGTTCTTTCATTCATTCTAGCATTTCATTTAACACATTACATTTAGTCGTCACGTCTCCTTAGGCTACTGTTGGCTGTGACAGTTTCTCAGACTTTTCTTGTTTTTGATGACCATGACATTTTTGTGGAATTCTGTAGACATTTTGTAGAATGTCCTTCAGTTGGGGTTTATCTGATGATCTAGTTACACTTTTATAAAAGTTAATAAAAGAAATTTTGGAACATTTCACACGCACACAAATACCATTTGTTGTTGGACAAAATATATTCTGTAATTTCCTCAGAATTCATCTTCCAGCAGACCTATTTCTTCCTAACTTTTGCCATGACTATAACTGTATGCACAATAGACTTTCCCGGAGCGTTACCAGTGTTGCATTGTAAGTGGAACCCTCCTCAGGAGTTGGCCTTTCCTAGCTCATTCCCATAATGATTGCATCTTACACATAATGTCATTCTTGAGCAAGTGTTGTAGAGGCAGGAGTACAGTGTAATCGTTTTCCTCTCTAAAGAACCAAGATAACTCATGATACAAAGAGCTCTTCTCTACGATAGATGACTTTTTTTTTAGTAATTGCAAAAACAAATTTGCAGCTCCGTAAGTTTCTAAAGAAAGAAAGAAATATTTCATTTTCAACCTTTAACAAGTAGTTTTAAGAAGCAATAGAAGGAAACTCAGTCATCGTTTGAAGGGGAGGTGCCCAAGAAACTCTTATTTTTACTTCTGATCACCCAGAACTGTGTGCTAAAACATAAAGTTGATCTCATCCAATTTCAGTTGGGGAAAAAAAAATCAAAGCAAAAAGCATCTTATTTTTTCCTTGGAGAAAATCTAAATACAGTTCTTTGTCAAGAATTTGCCCAGTACCAGATTTAACCCATACCAAGTAAATAAATTCCTTACAATCAAAGGTAAGGCAAAGGATAATTGCATCCAGAACAACCCATCAGTACTCTAAGTCTGAACCAGCCCCCCAGACAGCTTTTCAGTTACTACCCAGCCCCGAGAGAGAGTCAGACAATAGACTGTTTCAGAGGTCAGTTAAGGAGACAGCCTCCCACTTAGGACTGCTGCCAGGGACGTCCAATCCAGTGTCTGACATCTGGGTTCTGCAGCTGCCAAGTCTGCCC